AATGCGATCTCATCAGGCTGACAGACACAAAATTTATGACGTGTCACTGCAGAACCCACGCGACAAGGTACGGTCATTCGTCAAGCGAAAATATTTAACTCGATTTCATTGTTGCTTTATCCCATATTCCAATGTGTTCTTATCACTGACGCCGATGGGGGGGGAGGCGTTCGAGCCATCTGTCGCACTGGGCTTTTTAAAGAAATCAAAATTGAAAAAAAAAATTGAAGTACGCCACATATTAGTATGCCTGTTAAAAATTAAATTTATTTAGATATTTTTTCCGTTAAAATATTCGAGGGTGATTACTAAGAATAGTTTATGCGTTTTAAACGTAGGTTTATACGCAAATTCCCCTGAGAGGATCATGGCCGCCGTCATGGTTTTCCGAGACACAGAAGATCAGGCCGCTATCTTGATGGCACTGCGTCTCTCGTAATTTCCGGCCAAGTGCAGGTGCGCAGACGCACAGAGCGGCAGCGCATACTTGGAAGTCTGAGTTCGAGCCATTTTATCAGTTAGTTTAGAAATACATGGATTGCAGCTGTGGAATGAGTTTCATCAAGCTACTGGCATATCACGTGATTCAGACTGTCATGTGTATGATTCACTATAGACGGGGTTTGGTTTGGTAATTGGATTTATTGACCGCTTACATACTCGTACACAACTAGTCACTACACTTCACAGTTCGCTGTTACAGATATACACACAAGTGTTCTCAGTCTGTTACAGTCGTTGCTTGGTAACGGGTCCTGCCGATGGAGATTCTTCATCTTCCGTGCTCACGTCCTTGCCTGCTGGGAAATATCCCACAACTGAACTAAGCTCTAAACTTTGTTCCGCCTATAACCCCTCGGCACGGACCAACAGAAAACACAATTCTTCTCTTGTTACGTGCGTGTATACTGTGATCATTACCTAGCAACGGCAGCTGTTTACGGTCACGGCTTAGCAACGGGTCTATACGCAACAATATTTTTTTTATTGCTAGTAGGGTGAGACTAAGTCCCTTGTACTGCGGCCACTTCTGGCCTATTGTACCAGCCCCAGATGATAGGTGAGGGTGATTGTGGAGCAACTGGTGGAATGAAGATTGGCAAGGGAAACTGAAGTACTCGGAGAAAACCTGCGCCACCGCCACTTTGTCCATCACAAATCCCACTTAACCAGACCCGGGATCGAGACCGAGCCGCCGCGGTGGGAAGCCAGCGACTAACCGCTTGAGCTATGGCGCGGCCTTACGCCACAATATGATCAGAGGTTATTCACAAGCGCAACGGATTGGATAATGTCCGGAAGGAACAGCTGGACGGTGGTCCAATTGGAGACACAGACGGGCAAAGAAAGTCCTAAAACACTGGACATTCCATGAAGTCCTCATTGATCGAATTTTCAGACTGCAGCTCCTCATACGCAATTTGTAATTATGATTTACGTAGGACAAGAGGGACCTTGTAATATACCAGCGTCTTTACTTGGCCCATCTTGGTCCGTCAATTATGAAATGACTCGTAGCACCGTATACCTCAGAACAGCATAACAACATGAAGTGTTTTACACAATGGGACCACGACACTAAAGGCATTGGGAACTACGTCCCGATAAACAATCTCCTTCCTTTAATGAGAATAAATTTCAAGACACGAACCATCGGTTCTAGTTTTAACAAAAAGCTTTTATAAATTTACTTTAAAATATGTAAGTTTCGAGGTTTTCACGGCGATGACAATGAAGAAAGTTGTCTTCTGGGTTTAGGCACCGTGTATTCTTCGTTTTGGTCGACGTTTCGGTGCCTAAGCCCAGAAGACAACTTTCTTCATTTACTTTAAAATACTTCACTGTGTAAACAATTTAGTTATAATAACTTATAAATGTATCATCCACGATGAGGTCATTGAATTTTTTCAATTGACTTAATCCTTCCAGCCGCACTATAGCCCTGGGGTCGACTCAGCCTCTAACAGAAATGAGTACCAGGAATATTCTTGGGGGTAAAGGGCGGGCGGCGCGTAAGGCTGAAACCTTCCAGCCATCTATAAGCCGATTGTCTAGAAAATGTGGGAGCCTCGACGTCTCACATTCCTGTGGGCCTCCACGGCCTGTTACAGGGATAACTTTAATCTTTACTTACTTCATGTACTTAATCTACTTGCAAGGTGTAACTTTTATGCATTAATGACAGTGTAACAGTGCTTCCCTAAATGTTGATTGCGTCGTTCTGAACATTTCCAATCAGACTGAAACATGTTAAGGAAAATGAATATTGAAGTGCAGTTTCTTTTTACATCAGTCACACTGGACCACTGGACGGTGCCACAAGTCATTTTCTATTTTACACCAGCGTTTATGAAGGAAAGAGGCCGTGTCATAGCTCAGGTGATTAGGCGCCGGACTCCCATGGCGGCGGCCTGGGTTCAATTCCAGACCAGATCTTGTGGGATTTGTGGTGGAAATTTGGCAATGCGGAGGGTTTTCTGTTAGTACCTCGGTCTCTCCTACCAATTTTTATTCCACCAAATGCTCCACATTCGTTATTCACCTTATAATTGACGTTGCCCTAGTCTCAATACTTACATCTGTGGCTCTACAGCCCTTTGTTGGGTCTTGGTCGCTTTTTGTTTCTTAATTATATACGTGTACACAGTCAGTTGGACTATTAGGACGGGGGATCAGCCGGTCGCAAGGCCGCTACCTACACACACAATAACACAAACACAGAATAAGCGCAAACACAAACATCCATGCCTTGAGTGGGATTCGAACCCACGGTCCCAACTCTGAGCTAATGAAGGTAGTTCATGCTTTAGCCCGTGCGGTCACCGTGATCGGCTCAACACTGACGGTTCCGTTAAAGCGAGGGAAATATTCAGTAAATTTGAATGAACGAAATGTACTGATGAAAACTCTTCTAAGGTGACAGTTATGCAGCTTATCAGAACAGCCCCCTCTCTTGTATGAAGCCGGAAAATTCTTAGCTATTTTCATAATTCTCCACCTCTGGTCCATATTCTGAACCAGATAAGTGTAATCCACGTCTTAATTTCCACTTCTCAGAGATCTATTCAAATGTTATCTTTCCATCTACGCTTTATCTTCCACGTGATGTATTTCATTCGTGTTTCCAGATCAGAATTGGAACGTGATAGTGTTACTATAGACGTGTTTTGGATTGGTGATTGGATTTATTAAACTCTTACAGATCCGTGACTACAAGTAATTATAACCGTTTCCTTAATTCACACATCTCACAGTTCAGTAGAGCACACACTTAGGTTTTCTGTTTTGCTAATCCGTCGCTTGTTACCAGCTTCAACGGCGGACGTTCCTCTTCGTCTGTGTTCCCGAACGTTCCCCGACCTCAGCTACCAGTTTCTCACAGCAACACGTCACAACGACTGAACAGCAAAGTCCTCCGCCTAACTCACCCGTTAACTCCACTGACTGACTCCTCATTAACTGTCGTGCTCATAACACATCGAAGCGGATCTCACAGAAAACATCACTCCTTTCTTTCTGTTTACTGACCGTTGCATAAAAACGGATCTACACGTCACAGTATTTCATATGAATATTTTAACGTTCACATGCTTTCTACATGCTTCCTCATTTTATCCAGCGAGAATAATATCTCAATGAATATCACAGACAGGTATGTGATATTTTGATTGACGCAACATACAATTATGAGTTATGAAAAGCGCAAATATGAACAAGAATGAAGATATCTGAATAGATCTGTCGGGAAAGAAGCGGAGACCGGTCTGTGTTGGAAACTATGCCTCCAGTGATGTGGGACATAGCAGGGAATTCTGAGGAGCTGCAGTGTAGAGTGTTTTCAAATCTGATACAGCTCATTAGGTATGAGACTTTTTCAAATATTCTGCCGTAGTTCAATTAATTTTTAAACATAAATAGGCTCAAAAGTTTTAAATGGACATTATCTATCTTCTGTTTTTTTTTATAACGTCGTACTGTAGCCAGTCCCCCTCACCAGAGGTAGGGAGACAGACTCCAGTCTCTGAGATGTGTTTTAAATAAAACAGGACGGTGTCCAGAAACACAATAGTTGTAAAAATAGGCTCGTTCCACAACAAATGCAGAAAATTTATAGCTACAAATTACGTTGACATATGAAATAATTATGCAGGAAATTTATCTTTATGTACAGATCTATACCCTCCGGAATATAAAGCCGTGTAGTCTATGGAAAGCAAACCAACAATTCGGGGGAACATGCCGCTTCCATCTTCAGGGTAGAAGAATAAACCACGCAAGAAACCAACATGAAGCAGGCATCAAGAATGGGCGTTTCTTGCTGCTGGATTCATGCTCATTTCTTACTTGGCGTACTCTTCAACCCTGAAGATGCAGGTGAGAACTCCCTCTGAAATGTCGGTTGACTTTCGACGGACTACACGGAGTAATATCCCAGAAGACCGCTGTGAGACTGTGAAGTCCCGCACTTCCTTTGTGTGTCCAAGAGTAAAGGCACAGTCGCCGGCTTCCCATCGCGGCGAACCGGGTTCGATATCAGGTCAGATAATGTGGGAATTGTGGTGGGAAATGTGGCAGTGAGGCAGGTATTCTCCGAGTACTTCGGTTTCCCTGTCAGTTCTCGTTCTACCGACTGCTCCACACTCATTTACAATCCGGGGATGGTACGATAGGCCTAACAGTGGCCGACGTACCAAGTGGACTCAGTCTAAGAAACTATGAGAGAGGGAGAGCGTACAGGCTCAGTAGTCTCAGAGGATATTGCTTACAAAGTAATTCTAAAGGTGCCCATACACGTACGAGTCTGGCTCGCGAGTCCGACTCGGTTCGGGTTCCAATGAGCCAAACTCGTCCGTGTGCGGGTCGCAAAGTTTGGAGTCAGCTCATGCGTTTGTGGTGAAATTAATCCGAGCCCGGTTCCCGAGTCAACGTCACCGAGCCAGACACGTACGTGTATGGGCCCCTTAAGATTGCAGAAAGGAGAAGAGAACATATTTACTTACCAGGAGCTGGGTTCGCATCTTCTGAAGGGGTCTGCACTTTGCTGGTCGTCGTGACAGTCTTGTTAACGTAGCGCACGGTTGACGGGTACGCTGCAACAGACACACAATTTAGCTGCCAACCTCACAACAAGCAAGCAGTCAGCTGGTTTCTGCTACTTGCATTCCATAGACAAATGCGGGGTCATGGGGGGGGGGTTCTTGCAGTGTTTGGAACCTACAGCAATCAATGTTGCCTGTTCAAGCGTCTGTGGCCGAGGCAGTCAGATTCCGGACCACAAATTCGAGAGTTCGAATCTCGACAGGTCCTTCAATTCATACATTTCATTTTAATTCATATTTCCTTAATGTTCTAGAGCTATCCAGATCTTTCGAGAACATTCCAGAATCTTCCATAGAGAGTTCTAGTCTCGGAAAAATTGAGAAGTTTCGAACTTCCTTCTACTTGAGCGTTAACTTCCACCCAGGTCTCATACACTAAAAAGGGGCCGTTAGTATACGGCCCTCATTCGCTTTCCATGTAAGCTCTCCTAATCAATATTGGAATGAAACGAGACGACCGGAACCCATCGAAAATCTTAAGATTGTAAACAGATTAATCATATTAACATACTAGGCCAGTGAAATAGTTTTTAGTCCGCAAAAGGGCAGAGATACAGTGAAGTCAAAGAGAGTAGTGAGAAAGACAATACGCGCAACTGCAAAATAGGTACCATTAATCTAACTAAGTGTGGAATGAACAGTCAGCATAAATGACAAGCTACGACTACAAATGTGAATTAATAAATTAATTTGGGTGCTACAAACATTCAACAGATTCATGGGTAGTGGGTACACATGTGGCTTAAGTTAAACCAAAGTAGTGCTGAACAATAAGAAATAGTTAGCAAGTCGAAATCATTTAAGAATCGTGTTGCAAGGCATGCCAACTTTTGCGGATAGAGGGTGTCGCGTGGTCAGCGCAACGAATCCCCACGGCCGTTAATTTCGGTTTTCTAGACCGGAGCCGCTATTTCCTTGAAATTTCTCCTCACTTATCATCACGAGGCTGAGTGGAACCCGTTCCAGACAAATTACTTCTCAGAAAAAATCTGGTAGTGCCGGAAATAGAACCCGGACCTCTGGATCTGTAGCCAGGAACGCTGAGCACTAGATTACAACTAAACTTCGCCGACAAGCGGCGGTCGCTCGGTCGGAATAGTTCGCTTGCGGACTAAAATCATGGACTTCTTTTTGTTTTTTTGTTGCAAGGCATGTGTTATAAGTAAACAAGGACTACTTTAGTGTCCCATGCTAATTCTAATGTCCGTTACGCTACCCACAATCCTAAATATGCTTCCGTGGTTTTCTCGGACTCTGTAGGAGGATGGAGGGAATAGCAAGTCAAGCAAAAGGCTAGCTGGAGGAGGCGGTTAGTTGAGCTACCTGCTGCCTGACTCCTCTGGACTACAAGGCGCAGCAGCACATACTGACGTCCGTGAGAACCTCAAACCTGAAAGTTCTTTCTTCCTTTTTACGCACGGCGTCTCTCCAATTGAGCTCCGTAATACTCGAAGAGGTGAGGTCCTTTATAAAGGACCTCATAATGCTTGCAGTCCTCTTCTTTTTCACTTTCTAGCCGTCTGTCTCTTCCTTTGTCTCTTACTATCCCTTCTTTTTCGTCTTATATCTTTTCCTTTCTTCAAACTTGAATTTTTCCTTATTTTCTTGTACTTTCTTAGCATATTCTTTTCTTCATCATTCTTTCTGTTCTTAATTTGTTCATTCATACTTTCCCTTCTTGTCTGTTCTTTTGTCCTTTCTGTCTCCTTAATGTTTTCTTCATATCTCACTTCTTTTCTCCCTATAGATTATCCCTTTCTATGGCTTTTGTTATGGTGTTCCTTCAGAACGTTACAACGGCAGCAAAGCTGCGTCGACACCCCCCCCCCAAAAAAAAAAGATTGTAGAAGGGAAAATATAAAGGTAAAACTATCCCAGTAACAGGTCGTGGAGGGCCATAAGGTTGTGAGACGTCGAGGCTCCCCAGTTTCTAGACAATCGGTTCGCGCCGGCCGCACCTTTATCCCAGGAAGATTCCTGGTACACTTTTCTGTTGGAGGTTGAGTCGACCCCAGGGCCATATTGCGGCTGGTAGGAGTCTCGACGTCTCACAACCGTATGGGCCTTCACGGCCTGTTACAGGGATAGCGTTTCCCTTTTTTTTTTACCCCAGCCATTTTAATATAACAATCCCGTCTACTCCTAGGTCTTTCAAGTGGTTTCTTCCTCAGGCTTCCCATCGAAATATTAACGAATCATCCGACTATTTTCGACGCAAAAGGGTAAAATATAATTTAAAATTGGATGCATGCGATGATAAAGAAGTGGGCGAGCATGATATATTATCTTTACAACGAAATTTGTCTTGGTATTCGAGAGCTATAGCGCGCTTCGTTATGAGTTCATATGATTGATATATCGCGATGTGGGTTCTCATATTTCGAAGTAAGGTAAAGGTAAAGTTGTCCCCGTGCTTAAATACTCGTAATTATGCACCACGCCATGAAGGCGTATGGTGGAGTGGAGTTATAGCTCCACCATTCTCTATCTCGACATTCGATGGAGGTGAGTGAATAGGTTCATGCCATAGCCGCTTTAACCGGGGGGGAAAGAGCCCCCAATTTTCATTGAAGGCTGGATGGACCCAAGAGATATTCTGGACGATGTGGATTAGAGAAAAATTACTTGCTTCTGCCGGAAATAGAACCCAAGCCGTCGCTGTACCGACTAAGTTATCCTGGATTCTTCATAATGCAAGGACTGTCTGTAAGTTAGACAGATACGGAGGATGTTATGGTAGTAACCAAATCCGATATCAAAAGACGGCAACACGAGGGAAATTGTGAAGACAATAGCAAAATCTTCGTATCCTTTTGCAAATGACGTCAGTGCTGAATGCGCACGCAACCGTAAGCACAGAACCACCAAGTTGTTTAGACGCAAATCTGGTTTTGTGTTTAATTATTTAAACACTATTTTATGAAGACGTATGGAGTGAGTGGTGGTATAGCTCCACCATTCTTATCCTCGACATTAGATGGACGTGAATGGTAGACTCCACGCCTCGGCCCCTTTACATTCATGGGATAAGAACTTCGTATCAATCATACAGGAGGCTGGTGGGTTCTCGAGCCAATGTGGAACCTGTGAGGAAGAGAAAATGTCTTGTCCTTGTTGGGACTAGAACTCAAACTTCTAGTCCGTAGTCAGTCACCATTATTTGACAGTTACCATTCTGTTTTAGTTCCACCACTAGTGGCGTCAACATGGCCGCTCGGCTTACGTCACGCACTGGAGATGAGCAGCGGGCAGTGGGTTTAAGGTGTAAGGGGTGTAGAAATTCGTCAGAATCTATCAGTAAAAATACGGAGACAGTATTTTGTTGCAGCAAGACATGTACGGACAGACTGATTTGTTCGAAAGCGGCTGCAGAATTGTCACGAGAAATGATCAGACCGCATCGAGAGATGAAGGGGGACACTGCTACAGAGCTGTAAGGGCAATACTCCCGTCTCTCGTAGTGGCTGCAGAACCTCACCTCTGAAATATGCCGCAAGGCCTCCTGCTATAGCCAAGAGCGCTACGGCGTTGACGAGAACCTGTACGAACCGGAACTTGAGACGCCCCCTCGTGATGTAATGTGCGGACGGACGCCTCATGTCTCGGATAATCTGCAACATAAAAAAAATATTCAATTGAAATTTGGATTAAAAGGTAGTAAATTCGGAGGTCTGAGTTTATAAATCTTACAGGACAAAAATTCTATTACTGATTTTTCAAGTTCTCATGGCGGTGACCTTCAAAAATACTATTTTCTGGCATGTGACGCCGTGTAGTTTGGTATAGAAATTTAACGATGCCTAGGAGGAATGTAGTGCTTATATCTTCTTGCTTGCTAGGTCGCTGTCTTTATTCCTCTACACTGAAAATGAACGTAATAGGATTCTCCCAGTAGTCTCTGAACTCTCAGACTACACGGTGTTACATTTTACTCTTCAATACCCAATTTCTTTATGTACGAAGACAACACAGAAGTATCTCCTTTAGGCTAACAATGAGAAACTAACGCCATGAAATATGGTCTTCCTTGAAACGCTGATGGCAGTTCACTACGCCAAAACATTTCCTGATTTTACGAAACGTATTACCGTGTTTACAAGAGCTCGCCACTGAACCCTATCCTGAGCCACATCAATCCAATCATAAACTTTAAGAACCAATCCTCATATAGCTAAATATTTTCTGCGCCTGCTTCCTCAAGATTCCCTTTTGATCCTGTTACTTACTCGTGGTTCCTGTAAGTTGTTGTTCCCCTTCACATTATGCAACCTAAAATTCTGTATCTGTTTTCTGTGTGTGGTACATACCCGGCACGTCTCACTACACAGAACATCGTCATCATTTCATGTACTGTATTAAATGACGGACTGGCTTAAATTCTCGCCAAGGGAACGGATTTATATCCGCGATTTCCTGCGTTCTTCTACTGTGCCTGCCTTACCCCGCACATGGCTTGTTTTTATTGCAGACGGCGTTCGCAACACAGGAGGGAACACAGGAACGTTTTGGAAAATAATTAACTGGGCGATTAACGTTGTATTGCTCTCTCAGAGCTCTGTGCGCTGACCTAGAACTGCGATTTGTCACAATGTTCTCCTACTACAAAACAGAGAAACTAAACACAAGCAGAATAAACCACCCCATTTATCCATCATATATTTCTTTTTTTAAAACTTGGAGTAGATTTATCTTAAAATTTTTACATTCTTGAAAGTTATTAATCTAATATCATACTGCAGAATCCTGGTGCACTGTGTATTCTAACTTCGTGTTCCCATTCTTTGATGTTTTTGTGCAATTTCGTCGATGTGTTAATATTCTCACTTCAACATCTCTTCTCGTTATGAAACATGGCATGTTTCGGTCTAACTGGCCACCATCAGGTGTATAACATGTTGGACTAAAGGAACCTTCTGCCATGTTGTCACCCTGTTCTGCTTTTCATGTTGATGTAAAATGGTTCCAAAATATTTTTAGGTTATATTTACATCATGCTGTTGTAACTTTATCTGCATGCACGTATCTGGTGTATGCTTTGTTGATATGTTGGTTATATCCTTTCGTGGTCCGTAGCTATTCCGAGAGTTTCTCAACAGCCATATAAACATCACTAGTAGTTCAGTTGTGGTTGAGTCAATTGAGATTTGCAGTAGTTGGTAGCTGGGGCCGGGGACAGTTCTGGAACTCAGAGGAAGAGGAACGTTCGCCGTTGGAAGCCGCTACCAAACAACGGACAATGAAGACTGTCAATACTTTATGTGTGCTGTATTTACAGTTATCTTCGGAGTGTGTAACTCAGCAGACTGTCGTAGTTATTTGTATTTACGAGTTGTTTAAAAGTCTAATAAACCCGATTATCAATCCAAACCCCGTCTATATAGTGACTCCATCACGTGACAATATGTTACTTCGAAAAGTAGGTAAACTTCTACCAGACTACAGAGCATCACGTCTTGAAGACGTTGGGACATTTAAATTCATCGCCGGAAGACATCAAATTTCATATAATTAAGACGTGTTACAACGAAACCGTAGGGTACTTATAGATCTGATGCATTTGGGCTTCAGAGTGATGTAGAACAAGGAGATGCTTTAACGCCATTGCTTTTAGTGTGTGTTTTCCAATACGCCATTGCACATAAAACCCAAGAGGGACTGGAATGGAATGGAACAGATTTACTTCCTGTCTTTTTTCATGATGTTCCCTTATTAGTCAGAAACTTAGACACAAACATGAAATGTAATGTCCCTCCAGCCAAATAGCTGGATAATACCTCGACTGAGTCACTCCCACTTCCTTACACATTCTTTCGTTTTATCTTTCCTCAGTCACCTACCATTCGGCACTACAGCTAAAATATTAACAGCGTCGAAAATAACACCTCCCCCCCCAAAAAAAAACAAAGGAGAGGAAGCATAGCGTATCTTCCGATGGGCGTTATCCCTAAATGAGTGTACTCAAGCTCAAGACACTTATTTATAGCAAATTTCGAAGCTAAAAAGTTGGATTTTCAGAGAAGAGTTCTATGTTCTGGGATATAACGCCATGTAGTCCGTTGAAGGTCAACATACTTCCATGAGAAACATGCCGCCTCCACTTTCATAGTCGAAGAATAAGCCAAACAAGAAACCAGCGCCAACCGATTAGGAAGCAGAGCCACATGTCCCTGCAAAACGTTTGTTGATTTTCAACGGACTTCATGGTATTATATCCCGGAAAATAGAACTCATCACTACCGCTGTGATAACCGAAACAAGTCTCATATTAGAAGTCCAGGTTTCTGCTACAACTGTACGCCTCTTGATAATTGTGTATATTTAATTCGATCATACGAATGTTCGATTTTTTATGCCACATGAATGGAACCACAGGCTCTTGTGTGGACGTTAAGCTAACGACATGATCACTTCTGGGTCACTGTGGCGTTTCTATATATTGCAAATAAACGAAACACAACTCCTTTCCTCCGGAAGACTAAATAAAAATGAAAATGTATTCGCTGTCAATATTCGGTGATTGCACTGGGGTGGCAGCACATGATGGCGGCACGTACTGACAGCTGAATGCCTGCTTGTTATAAAAATATCGCTGTGTTTAATGACGTGAGAGAATAAGTGAACAACGACAGCAAAGCCATGACGTAAGCGTTGTTTATATTTCCAAATCATTTGATCTCCTAAAGATTGTATGGAACGTTTCGTGAAGCAATGAGGCTTGCTTTTAAACTGCGAGCCAATAAAACGAACATTTAATGGTTCATAGACAGCAGCAGTTTAACTGGAGTGTTCTTTCTTCCCCTAGGATTTCAGACCTTCACGAGAGAATTTTTTTCCTCAGAAATATTTGTATTCCCTGCGTCAAGGACGGTGCATGCAAATATTAAAATCTCATCAAAAGCCGAATCCTTCATCTGTTTCGTATTTTTTTCTATGGTGTTGACACACGCCGCTAGTCTGTTCTTAATAGGACCTAAGGAGTTAAGGTTATTTTTGCGAGCATATATATATAGACTGCACATATACTTGCGCGTATAAATACAGACAGACACATGCATACATACATACCTACATCATACGTACACATTTTAATACATACATATATTTATAGACCACGGAAACCCCGACAATAATTTAGAATCACCCTGTATTTCCAAGCACATATATACATAGTATATACACACATATTTACGCATACATGTATATACAGTAAACCATCGCTAATCCGGAGTAATGGGAGGGGAATCCGGATTGGTGAAGCAAAAGGAAGCCCTAAAAAGACAAAAAAAAATAAACTTAGATCACAAATAAATAGAAAATTTAATTATTTAAGTATTTCTGATGAAAATAATTAAAAATATCACGGTAGAGCCTTATTTAAAAACTGTAAAATACAACAAATTTATTCATCGATAGAAGACTCAGAAGCTGTACTTGTTTTTGAACGTAATAACGCAGGTTTGAAGAAACTGTCAAGTTTTGTCTGAACAGACAAGTGACTCATCTGCCTTCCTAAATTCTTTTAAGTACGTGCTCAACTGTGAATATAATTTTTCATTTGTCATATTTTGATCTGGAATATCCGACATCCGGTTTAACTGTAACCGGATTAGCGAGGGTTTGCTGTACGTACACAAATTCAGTTCATAAAATATGTAGGCCTACACACATATATACTCACCATCATGTACAAGCGCTCATAAGGAACATACACATAAAAACACATCGATACCTACATACATATAATTGTATATATACGTCCTCCACCTTTGGTGTGATATGTATGTGGAGGACATTAAGAAACCCACGAACAACTTCGTTGAAGTCGAATTTTATAAACCTATAACTACTTACAAACCTGAGTCGACATCACAACACTGCAAGCATTAGGCTTAGTAGTTACAGAGTTTTACCACAATGGCGCTGTAAGCCATTGTTCTATATGTTAACAGATTTCTGCCAAATACGTCTCAAAGCATCCCTTAAAAAGATCAAGAATGCATTCTGAACGGTGTTGACTTGTGCAAGATATATTAGGCCAGTATAAATCCCAAATTCTGGAAGATGTTACTTTTTAAACATGGAATGAAAGTTCACTCGCTTACCCTGTGATGCAACGACATGTTGGATCCGTGATGAAACCTGACAATTGTCTGCAGTGATGCAGGTGTTGATATGCTTTTCGTCAGAGCAGCATTCCCGTTGCTGTTGACGTCATTTCCTGTAAGAGCTGCTCCATTCCCGGCATCCCCATTTAGCAGCTTCTTGTTCCCCGCACTGTTCACTTTCTGGCTTGCAGTCATTGAGTTGGCTCCGTGGTGTGGAAGAAGAGGCGTTTCCATTGTTTTTGTCGTGTAGCTCGGAGAGGAGTTCTGACTAAAGCTGTCGCTGGAGACATTTGAGTCTTGTCGGACAGAAACTTTGTTGTTATTGTTGCTGGGCTGCTGTTGCTGATCTGCCCTGGATGGGGGAACGGTGACTGGCTGATGCTGATTCTGGCTCGTTTGGGTTTTCTGAGTCTGTTGCAATGCGGGAAGACTGGGTTGCTTTTTGCGCTGTTCAGGTTGTTGGCTTTGTGGTCTGTTTAAGGGCTGTGAGGTCTGACACTGATTCAACATCTGGGAAGGTTGCTTTACAAGGTTCTGAGCTTGAGGCGATTGGGCTTGTGAGAGACTTTGCTGCATCTGAGATTGATTGAACGATTGAGATATCTGTGTCTGGAAACTCGCCGATTGCTTAGTATGATTCTGAGCCTGATCTATTTGAAATGTTCCAACTTGTTGTTTGTTTGGCTGAACCTGCGGTTGTTGCTGAATTGTGTGGTTCTGCGGTGGAACTGTTGGGAGTATCTTTGGTTTTAGTGGCTTTTGTTTCATGGGGACTTGTGAGCTGATGTTCTTAATGGCTTGTTGAGGTTTCGCCTGATGAGATATGTGTGGCGGTGGGATGGGAGGCTGCAGTGGCTTCTGATGCTGTTGAGGGTGTGTCTGATGGTGAGTTAGCGAGATCGGCAATTGCTTCACGTACGCAAGTCCTGATCCTTCGGCCGGTACAAACCGGACGCCGGTAATTGGTGGCGGGGGTCCTACTTTGCTACGCTCTGGGACTGCGGGTGGTCGTAATGGGACTGGAGGCGCCTGAGATAACACCTGCAACAAAAGAAAAGAAGGTGGAAAACCCTGTCAACGTCAAAGCATTAAATCATTGTCACCGTGTTCATACCCATAATCTAAACTGAAAGTCCGGTATTATCCATTATAAATATGAGTTTTGGTATACCATAAAAGCTGGTTAGAGAACATGAAACATGAATATTACAAATTTCTGAGTTATGATGCAGTGTAGTCCGGCAGACGTTTCGGGGAAACCTACTGTCTTTATCTTTAGAGACGAGGTGTAAGTCCAGCAAATATCCTAATTTCGTTTTTTCTAACTTATTACCACCAATAACAACGGCACTGAGGCCGCGAGGACATTTAAGCGGAGGCCATACAAGTGGTAATTTAAAGTGCATATTATAGAAGATATTCGAACAGTAAGGAACTTCTCTAAGGATACTGTCACTCGTAGGGGTGACTTATAAGACGGGTTTTGAATTTACTTCACCTTGTACGTTCATAGAGTTCGGGACTAGAAGTAATGCAAGGTTATCGCTTTGCAATTCACCGTTGCACACGCACTAGGATTATCAGTCTCACTATAACTTCATATCACATATGGTGTCTACCTTTCCCAGTCTAATCACCTTCGACTGCCATCTCCAGAACTCGACCCAATTCTGATTCTACCTGCGTGCGATCCTCGTTATATAGCCTCCAAGCGGACCCCACGGAAAACACCATCTTCTGTAATTAAGGATGCGTGTTTACTGGTCTGTTACCTAACAATAGACGTCTTTTATTATGTGCACGTGTGTTGCGGGTATGTGTTTACCGATCCGTTGCCTGGCAATGGGTATATACGTCACAATATTTTTGTAGAATGTAACTAGGGAACAGTTCTGTGAACAGGATGTTCCTCGACAACGAGGAACACGCAATAATGGAAGAGATGTTCCCTATGCCGCCCGTACCGGTATATATAACGAGGGCTAGCAATTCAGTTGCTGTCGAGTGCGTCTGGAGGCGGGTTAGAATAACTCCACTGCAACCTTGCGAGTCGTTGTTGGCGACGAAAAGGGAATCCAGTGTCGGGGTGTATAACCGGGCCACCCTGTACATTCGAGGACCTGGTCCACCAGGCTGGGAGAGACTCGAATATGAGACAACAAAGTATGGCTATGTGTCGCGTGGGATAGGATCCGAGAATTATAGCGCTGGCGAGGGCCAGCAGTAATTGTTAACTACAGACCCATGCTCATGTCGGAGAGGGTGCCATACATCAACAAACCCGCAACTGCCTGACAGTACCAAAATCTGGCCTTCTGCCCAAAATTGAGGCTCGATACCAAGAGAGACGGACCGACTGACCGTCGGTCGTAACATAACTGTGAATTCGATTGAATTGTTGTCAATTAGGCTGAGAGCTGCATTTATGAGAAGTGAGAAGCTGGTAACTGAGGCCTCGGAGAGCTCTGGAACCCAGAGGAAGGGGGACGTTCACCGTTGGAAGCCGCTACCAAGGAACGGCTAGTGAAGAATGAGAAGACTTTATGTATGCTGTAGTTATAGTGATCATTGGATTGTGTAATTCAGTGAGGCTGTCATAGTTATTTGTAGTTACGAGTGTAGGTGTCCAATAAATACAATTACCAATCCAAACCTCGTCTCAAGTCACAATCACGTGACGGTACATAGATATGTAGATACTGTACTGAGGTGCATAAGGTGTGTCCTCTACAATCTGCTGCTGAATTTTGTGAGTCCTGATGACAACACTGTTTACTCTGAGTTGACAAGTTTCTGTGATTCACTTTACGTCTCTGTCAGTATCTTGGATAGTAGTGTGACGGGCTGTAGGATCGCAGATGAGTTGGAAAGGATTTACATGGGAGCAGTAGCGGCCAGATCGAGGTACCAGCCTGAATTTACCTTGGAGCGAACAATGAAAACGGCGAAAACATTAGGAAGAGATGTATCGTCAAAAATTCGAATCCATGACACATCAAATACGACTAAAGAGTGTTAATGTTACACAAACTCCTTCAGAGATATAATTAATGAGACGTGTTGCACAGGTTTCACATCCGCCATAAATATTTCTACAAGGATCCGACCCGGTGTGTTGCTGGCTGCATACACAAAGTGCCTTGAGAAACAAAGCGAAGGTAAGCAAACCTGAGCTCGGCACAAAAAAAAAAAACCTCTTTGTCAGCCTGAACAGAACATTATAATGGGACATTTTATCTCGAAATTGTACTTTAAAGGAATTTCGACTATTTCAATAAAACCTTGCACTATAATTCACAAACACATAATAAAACACAGACATAAAGCATAAAAATTTAGGTGGAAGAGTGAAACAGTTATACACCTTGTAACGGCTCTTTGTAATGTTTCTTTGGTTGTAGCTATAATAAATTTGAAGAACATATTGACTGTCCTATAAACATCTTCAATTTATGAAGAGCTTCTGGCTATAGCAAAAATAAAAAGGACGCATTTCCGACATTATGTGCCTCCATTTGCATGTGACTGTGCACACTTACACTCTTAGAACGATACAAAGTAAAACACGGCGTACATTCTGGAGAAAACACTAGAAAGAGGAAGGAAAAAAATTGCTTTGTATTTGTAGGACATGGGTTCAAATCTCGGCATGCAACCCGGCAATCCTGACTGATACTTGTCGTGTCTTTCCTCAGTTCCTTCACGCAAATACCAGGATATTACCTCAAATTAATCCACGACAACTTCTTTTCATAACTTTCAATTTTTTTATTCACTAACCATTATACTGCGGCTTTTTTATGGAGTGTGACTACAGGCGGGGTTTGGATTGGTAACTGGAATTGTTGTACACATACACATAACTCGTAACTACAAGTGTCTATAGCACTATTGCTAAACCACACCCTTTAGAGTTCACTAGAGCACACACTCAAGTCTTCTCATCCTGCTGTGTCTTCACTAGTTGTAACCTGGCAACAGCTTCTAGTGGCGGATGTTCCCCTTCCTCTGGGTTTCCGAACTGTCCCGGTACCTCAACTACGAGCTTCTAACAGCAACGGCTCACAACAACTGAATCGCAGCGGTCCTCTTAACTCACTCATTCACCGACCAATTCGCACCACTCCGCTAAGTGAACTTAACACAACTCAAGTAACTGCTTTAACTGTCGGTGGTTATTGAACCATTGCTTAGCTACGGTTGTTGTTTACAGAACCATTACTTAGCAGCGGCTTTTGTGTAACTGCTTATATTGCGTTCGTTGCATAGCAACGGGTCTGCGTGCAGCAATATCTTTGGGCACTATGTATACTCACCTAATGATAGAAACGTTAAATAAATCGTGAATATATTAATATATAAATAATGTAATCCCTTGGAGGAATAGAGAACCCGCTTGGAAAATTTGTGAGTGTTTATGTCTGCATATCTGCGGGCAGGGTGTGAGAAATCTCCACTTTTCCATAAAGCTATAAGCGAGACAGGGGGACGGGGTTTAAGGCTACAAATAAAGCAAAATGACATTGGAAATAAAGGATAATAATTATATGCAAAATTTAATTGAAACTGTGGAAGAAAACTAATGCCTTTATCTTGCAACAACAGAAAGATCAAAACTTGTGACATGATTTCGAATAAAAAAGTGCAATACTAGACTGACTCGGATGGTATGAAACAAAAAACTTGTATTGGTTGTAGTGTGATTGATCTATGGTTAACAGATCAGAAAGTAATGTTTTCGGCAGACCAGGAAAATGGAATTCTTTGATTAGTGGACAGAAAAAAATATATAACTTTTAAGAAAGAAAATGTGCTGATATAAACTTAATTGAAAGTACAGATACTTAACAGAAAACATCAGTAGGGTAACATCTACTCTTGATGATGGAGGCGGAAACAGTTTCCGAAACCTTGAGCACCAACTTGACATGATGTTGCTGATGGCCCGTAAAAACATTTAATCCTGCGGCCATTAGCTTCAAATCACACACAGAAATGGCCAAGGCACATGGTGAATTCTTCCACAATACAGGAATAACTGGTCATAACAGGCAGCAGTACTGCATTAAGGCATCTGAGCAGAACATAGTAATAAGAAGGCAAAGCTATCCCTGTAACAGGCCGTGAAGGCCCATAGGATTGTGAGACGTCGTGGCTCCCACGTTTTCTTTAGGTATTCGGCTCACAGATGGCGGTAAGTTTGTCAGCCTTACGCGCCGGACGCCCTTAACCCTGTAGGAAGATTCCTGGTACTCATTTCTGTTAGAGGCTGAGTCGACCCCAGGGATGGAAGGATTAGGTCGTTTGAAAATATTTACCGCATTGGAACTCGAACCCGCTACCTTCCGGTTTGTAGCATAGTGCCTCAACCAACTGCGCTACTGCATGCCCCCAACACAGTATTATTATACGAAATTATTTCAAATATCTGTGTTGCTTCCCACAGTGTTGTCCACTAGACAGAATGCAGTCCCAGTTCTATATGCCAAAGGGACAAAGCTTTCTACTTACCATCGAAGGTTTATGTTCAGAAGGGCAACAATGAGCTGAATGACGTCTCGGTAGCTGATTGGATGGTGGCAGACGAGGGACGTTCATTGATTGGAGCAGCGTTTGTTCCCTGACCAGCAGGTCCAAAAGCGATCTCTCCGGCAGCGCCAGGCTGCTTGTGCGGCAAGACCTGCAAACATTATGCATGAGAATTGAGAGGAGCTTATACGCACCCTGGTTATAATTCATGTGCTAAGAAGGCGCTGAACTTGAGTTTGTCTTTCAGCTCATCACAAGACAACCGGATTCTTAAACGAGTAATTATCTTTGCCCCGGATTCTTAAACGAGTAATTATCTTTGCCCATTGATTTATGATCCTTTACAGCAAACATGGAACACGAATTAGTCCTGGCTGCTCTCATCAACAGTATCCTCAGTGAATCTGATCGAGTCCTCTGACCGATATGAGGACTGCAGTTGTATGTACAGATTACAAAATTACCTCAGTTATTATATTCAAGGAGTTTATCCTGTTGTGTTAATGTATACCAAATGTATTTGCCCGTCACAACACAACAGCTCTCAATAGTCCCACCCACAAATGTATGGTGAATTTATTTATCTTAGTGGTATAACTTGCTACATGTTTCGGCTTAGTAAAAGCCATCATCGGGCAAATATACACTAATAGCAATTTTCTTAAACTATTAAATTACGTTTCACATAAGTACATATATTATCACAATATCTTTGAACACATTAAAACATATTAGATTTTTTCTAATGCTTACAAATATTCGTAAAATAATATAAAATACATGCGATAAGTTAACAAGTTTTACAATTTAAAATTATAACATAACTACTTAGATATTTTGTGCTGTCACGTATAATAATTTCATATCCTGTTTCACATTAATGTTAATTGCTGCAATCCTGACATTATATCAAGTAGTGACTAATGAACATTGTTTTGGTTATGATTTAGTTTTTATTTCTTTTCAGTCTCTCCAATGAGGCGATTGTGCTCTTTGGGATTGATGTTTCATTTTCGGTCTTAGTACGAGTATTTTAGGAGTTTTCCTGTGTTTCAATATTCAACTTTCGTTGAACGTCAGATTGCAACTCAGTGCGTCAATTATGCACCCTCTTCACGCTGCCTCGTACCATAGACACCTTCACACGTTGCCTATCAACAGCTCTGAGCGCGCGACCGTGTATAGAGAATTCTGTGACGATAAGTGTCTGGTGAGATGCAGAAGTAACGAAATACAATGACGCTGGGGTTTGAAGCCAGTACATACTGAGATTGAAGGACCCTAAACGTATATCCTCCTTCTTCTCCCCTTCTTCTTCTTCTTCTTCTAGAATGTAGGCCATTGGCCTGTTTCGGACTTCAAGATGATACTTCGGTGTCTTCGGGTTTTAAAATTTAGTAATACTTTTCAGACTCAAAATTACTGGGTTTTTGGACTATGTCCATCGTCCGGTATTCTAAAAACACTAGAAAACATAACGTTTGGGAAACTGGATTTGTTTCTGTTGTTAGGTGTGGAGGGGGAGACACCTCCACTGATGGGTCCGTTAGAAAGATCTAACCTCAATCACTGATCCAGACCACAACGAGATTTAAGGTGCCTAACGTAAACTCTGATATTTAATCCATTTCATTTTTCATACTGAGTTATGTCGTTATATACGTATTGTCGTAGGTGTTTACCACTGTTTCGTAGAAACTTAACTCTACGCTCTTCTGTGATTAATAAATAAGATAAAGTGACTGAATCGCTGGGACCCTCAGCTTAATATTCTACTGACGTGGCGTCACACGGAAGGGAGTATCCCACGAAGATTAGATATTATCACGTGGTGGAGTGACGATAAAATGGTTTTGGATTGGTAATAGGATTTATTGAACACTTACGGAACGTAAATACAAATAACTACGACGGTCTCACTGAGTTACACATTCTAAAGATCACTATAACCACAGCACACATAAAGCCTTCTCTGTCTTCATTAGCCGTTCCTTGATAACACCTTCCAGTGGTGGACGTTCCTCTCCCTCTGTGCTCCTGAAGTGTCCCCGGCCTCAGCTACCAGCTTCTCACTGATCACAAATGCAACTAGCAACTGACTCGAAAGTCAGTTGGCTGAACAACTAGTTCTCCTTATATAGCCTCGGCGCGGACTGCACAGAGAAGGTTTCTCCCACTACTGCGTGTTCTCTTGTTGCCGGGGAAGCAAAAGTGTCCATAGAGCTGTTCCCTGGCAACGGCTGTTGTACTGTCGCCTGTTTGCACACTTCTTATTTAGCAGCGGGTCTACATGTCACAGTATGTTTCAATGCATCAGTGTTTTATAAACATGCAGTGTTGATGCCATTAAATGAAACAAAGAGGAAGTAAGAACAGTGGAGATGATTATTTTTACTTCTAGAATAAATATCAACCACATGCAAGAATGTAATACGTTTTTCATTAAACCCCAAGTTGCTTGGTACTCTGATTTGTTCTAATTCAGAAATAACTTCATAAAACATGAATCTTACATGCAATTGGTAGGCCACTGCCAGCCGCTCGTAACACGAACAGAATTTGGGATATACACCCACCATGTCTACGGAAGAGAGTCACATGCTTGACCACGCGGTGTGCCTATTGTCCAAGTAGGATTTTGGGTCCTACAGCCGTGAACATGAAGAGTACAATGTTCTGAGCTGTGACGCCGTATAGTCTGGAAGTTAACCTGGCCAATTCGCGCTGCTTTGGGGTCGGAGAGTAAGCCAAACAAGCAAGCAAGCATTAAAGAAAGCAAAACTATACTTTCGCCGTAACAGTCAATATATTCCTCTGAAGCGTCGGTGAACTACCGGATTATACGGCGTCACATACCATAAGGAAAATACTCTTCATCATTACGTAAGCCTCCGTAATTCTAATGACAATGTTCGGCAGTCCCATCTGCCGAATCATTGGAGTGTGGCGTCTCCATGGCGTCAGGGCTGCAGCCACGTGCACATTTGCATACGGGGCTTGTTATGCCCTCTTTGAGCAAAATGCATAATGAGGGGTGTGCACCTTCCTTTACTTCCTCCCAGCTGCTCTGCTCCAGCCGTTAGGAGAGAGTTTAGTGTTCCAGAGTGTTAGGGTTTGATCCCGGTTGCTGCCACCAAAATGTACCCAAGAAAGGAGAAACAGAACTGGAACGTTCAACAAAGCTAATACCAAACTAAGTCATTGAACACGACCTTGAACCAGTTTCACCCACCGCCCACACTCGTAACCACATTTATAATGTTGTTCCACATTTTTTCTCGGTCTAGTGGCAGTTTTCCAAGAGGTTTTCTCATAAAAATTCTATAACCATTCTTTGCTTCCTTCATTCGCACAGCTCACCAAGTTTTCATTATCCTAATAAAATTAGGTAACCTCTGGAGTCTATAGAAGTCGACATGGGTACTGCATTCTGGTTTTGACGACCGAGGAACCGGGTATGAATGCCGGAGAAGATAGGAGATTCTTCTCTTCTGTCCAGCGTAGAGACCAAGCCAGGATTATATGCAGCCCGAGTCGTGAGACTGAACAGTCATATGGAAGTAGTGCCAAAAATAAGAACGGCGCAGTTATGTCTCCACTTCCCCATGCGTCTTCAAGAATTGGTGCTTAAATAATAAAGCACAGGGACAATGTTACATTTACCCGGGGCCTATATTTTGGGAGGTTCATGCTTGTGCATTATCCCACTATTCGTGAGATTAGAAACAATATATACCAATATAGCGAAAATAAATTACCTGAAGAAGGGAATATGGGTGACAATGATAAGATTACTAGAGCACAGTTGGTAGTATCGAAGACAATTATTACGGAGTTAACTTACCACTGAGACCGGCCTTTACCGAGCCATCTCGCGGACAACTAAGCACACTACTGGAGACTCTAAACCCTGTATCTTATAACCTATTGGAGCCATCACTTTAAATCTGTATGAAAATATATCATAAACATATTTACATGCTCTAGGTGGACAATGGTTATGAATCAACGGTTACAAACGTGAAGAGGGTGCGAGGCTTTGCAGTTGTAACATTCGCAAAAAGTTTAAAGCGGTTTGAATCTGAGAGAGGGTAATTGCAACATGTCTGAACGCACTCAGATCCTCTGGGGCGAGCAGCTGCGTCCGGTTGAACCAGAAAAAAGTGTTTCGGCGACTGACTGTCAGTTCATCAGTAACCATGTTCGTAAACACAGAGCTTCAAATCTTACGTAATATGTCTTACAGCCACAAGGCTCAATATTTGGAGACCTAAATGACCTTGGAGCAATGTTTCTTTTTGAAAACATCGTCCCAAACAAGCTGTGCCATACCTAGGCCGGCTTCTCACAGAGGTCATGTAGGATTTGTGGTCCACAAAATGGCATCGGGACAGGTTTTCTGCGAATATTTCGGTTTCCGCACCAACTGTCATTCCACCAACTGCGTCAAAATTTTTCTATCATCCCTGGCTTGTACAATAGGCCAAATACTGGCCGATATGCCTTGCGGACTCAGTCTCACGCCGGAAACATCCATCCAATTAAAAATAAATTGTCCGAAACAGCCGCTCTACTGACTTTACCGTGTGCAGGCATCCATGATTGCTGTTCGTTCTCAACAGACAATCCTGAACGCCTCTGACACACTTGAGGGCAATTCAGCGCCGTCTGTCTGCGTGTTGCATACATACCTTCCAGTTTGGCGGTCTGGTCCGTTCAAGACAGGGAGGTTATTGTTTCCTGGTGACATTTCCAACCTGGTGACGCTCGACCGACGTCTCAGATCGTCCAGTCGGGCCGTTCCAAGAGACATGGCCGTATGCTGAAACAAGTCATGTTCACTCTGTTGACGTGGGCAGTAACAAACGTCTACAGATAGTTCAGCATGCTCCCTATTCGTGGAGGCATTACTGTGGACGTGTTGTCTCATGTATGCAATTCCCTAATATTTAAGGAAAATTAGAAGGAAACCTGATACCAGTGTCCGCTGTGACATTCAAGCCAAAAGCACTGAATTATTCTTGTGCTTAACTTATATGGCGTTGCCATATTATGGACTACATAGCATCGAATTGTAAGATGGCTGATGAATTGGAAAGCATGTGAAAGGAAGCAGTCATGGTTCCGTCGAGCTACTATCCTAGAATTCGTCTGCAATGACTGAGGAGTCAGTCACGGTAGCCTGTGCCCCGAAGGAAATTCAACATTCAAACCTGCTTAGTACGATTTAACTCGTCATTGCTAGGTGCGATGCGTATGTAGAACAGGGTTAGCGCATTCAGTACAGCTACTGCGCTATGGATTGGACGGCCGAGGGGTAGGAGTTCGAATCCCGGTAGGGGAAGATTTTCTGACATCCATGTCGTCCAGACCGGCTATGGGACCCACACAGCCTCCTACCCAATTGGTACTGGGGGCACTTTCCCCGGGGATAAAGCAGGAGGGATGTGAAGGGGACTACTCACCTCCAGCTAGTGCCGACGTCAAGAAAACATGGATCTATACATCCACTCCCCCATACGTCTTCATGGAGTAGTGCTTAATTAGTTAAGCACAGGGACAACTTTATCTCTACGATACAAATGTCGACCAGATAAACGACTAGTAGATTCTGTCGGGGGTAAATTATTTGAATAGTGATAACGCCATGAAGTTACGTTTCTTATTTTTAGAATTCAAATCTCTTCTCATTACGACTATAAAAACATGGAGACTTTCGGGTATTTTACAAAATGAAAGTAAAACCCTGGGTTTGTTACAGGCTTGGTATATAAGTAAAAAAAAAGTAAAGCTATCCCTGCACCAGGCCGTGAAGACCCATAGGGTTGCAAGACGTCGAGGCTCCCACATTATCTAGACAATCGGCTCACAGATGGCGGTAAGATTGTCAGCCCTACGCCACGGCCGCGCTTTACTCCCCAGGAAAATTATTTAATTAATTCCTGGTACTCATTTCTGTTAGAGGCTGAGTAAACCCCAGGGCCTAGTGTGGCTGGAAGGATTAGGTCAACTGAAAAATATCCAATGACCTCATCGGGACTTGAACCCGCGACCTTCAGGCTTGTTCCCTTCAATACGTTTAAATCTTTCGCATTTTACAGGCTTGGTATATTCCATTCAGAATCATGGACCTTAGGTTCTGGCAGCGCTGACTGAACAGTGCGATCTTCTGGTTGTCACGCCGTGTACTTCGGAGAAAGCCTCCATCTTCAGGAAAGGCTAATACTTCGATACTGCAAACGGCAGAGAGTGAACGTGAAGAAATGAGACGACGAGTTCTAGGTGTAGTTCACAAGGCGCCGACTATTTCGCAATGCCTACTGTGTCTTGACTTATTAGTAGAGTGAAAAGAGGCATCGTGTGTACCGGTCTGTAAGCCGACAGGAAATGGAGAGATCTACTGTCGTTCATGACCGATGTTTTAGTAGTTAGGGGATGGGCCGTCTACACAAACATTTACCAATTATAACTATATACTATTTCATTGGGAGCACTCTGTAGTATAACTGATTGAGACATTATGCTAAAACTAAAAGGTCAAGGGTTCGATTCCCCATGAATGACCTTAACCTTCCAGCCGCATTATGGCCCTGGGGTCGACTCAGCCTTTAACGAAATGAGTACCAGGAACCTTCCTAGATGTAAAGGGTGGTCGGCGCGTAAGGCTAACAACCTCACCGCCATCTGTGAGATGACTGTCTAGATAATGTGGGAGCCTTGACGTCTCATAACCCTATGGGCCTCTTCGGCCTGTTACAGGGACAGTTTTTTTTCTAATTATTATTATTTTTAGATTAGAATATCAGACTCAGCCCCATAAAAATCACTTCTCCAAACGTCATAAGTAACATGAAGTTAACAGCTTCAGCTACAGAGGTCGCAATCTAAAAGACAACATACCATCCTTTTCAACGGGCAAACTTGCACTGAAAATACTGACAGAATAAGTCGTAACACTACTGCAGTGCTGCACATGATGCAATGTCCCCAACCACAGGTCAGTTCTTCACAGTACTATTTCGCCTTACTTACTTACTTACTTACTTACTTACTTACTTACTCATGTAGCTGAGTCCTTCTGGAGGAACCGCCAATTCTGCAGCTACTCAAGAATTTCCCAGCATTTTATGGAACCCGAAAGTTCATTACCGTGTTCACAAGAGCCCTCCACTTGTCTCTATCCTGAGCCAGATCAATCCAATCAATACCATTCCATCCTATCTCTCTAAGATCCATTTTAATACTGTTCACTCACTTAAGCCTTGGTCTCCCCAGTGGTCTCTTTCTTTCTGGGTTTCCCAGCAATATCCTATACGCATTCCTCATCTCTCCAATTCGTGCTACATGCCCTGCCCACCTCATTCTTCTTGACTTGATCGTTCTAATTATACTTGCAAAACAGTATAAGTTATGAAGCTCCTCATTATGAAGTTTTCTCCAACCTCCTCTCACTTCATCTCTCTTCGGTCCAAATATTCTCAACACCCTGATCAGGCAATTTTTCCTTATGCCAAATAGAAGTAATTAGATTGTGGATCTTAGAACGTAATATTTCGCCTCCTGCTTGAATAAGTTCTGCCGGAATTTGATAACTACCTGGCGATTTATACCGTTTCAATTTTGCAATAGCACTTTCAAACTCAAAAGGGCTAGGATCAGGTATTAACGGCTCAGCTGTATCGATTTCTATCTGCCTAACATCACTGACCCTATGTACATTCAATAACTGAGAGAAGTAGTTCTTCCACCTGTTCAAAATGTTGTGGGAATCTGCAAGCAGATCACCATTCTCGTCCTTCACTAAGTTACTGTTAGGTTGGTAACCCCTCTTAAAGTCATTTATTCCTCTATACAGGTCTCTAATGTTCTTGTTCTTACTGTTCATTGCAAGCTCATCAATTTTGTCTTTCAGATATTCCCTCTTTTTATTCCTG